CCCCCCCCCCCCCCCCCACGGGAAATAGAGTAAGTCATCTGTAAAATCATAGATTCGTTCACTTCTATAACTTTTAGTCGTACTCGTTGCTACCGGGTATCACTCTTATTCTTTTCTTTTTCTTTCCTTTCCTTAACAGTAGAGGCAAATGAACATGAAATACGTAGCTGTGGATGTCACACTAGCATTCACTTAGCTGAAGTAGTTTGGCCATTTTTTGTTGAATAATTGTGCTAGCGCTTAGTTTTCGGGGTTATGTTGTGGAGAATACTGTTGATATTATTAAAGCGCAAAAGAAATCTTTCAAAATCTAGGATACCGTCGTGTACACTCGTTGCAAAAATATGATAATAGGCAACAACCAACCAATACGAAGTAATTAGTTTTAGCCTTCGCGAACACGTGTACTGCTCGCGCGCCTCGCCCTAGCCGCTAGGGGTGGATCCCGTGAAATATATAGTTTTTTTTCTTTCTCTCTCTCCCTTTAGAAGAATCGGCTGTATTTGCAGGCTAAAGCAGTTCCTTGGCGCCAGCCATACAGAATAGTCCTTTCAGATACCACAGCCCGTTAGAAGAGCGCTGAAAGCGAGTCCGAAACGATGATAGCCTGTACACAAATGCTGTTTTATTTTTCTTTTCGTTCTTTCCGAAAACATCGGCGAGCGCGAAAGGCCGGAGAATGAGCGCGGAGCGCGAGAAAGAAAACTAAAGAACTAGTCTTCTTCCCCACCCCTACCCCCATGTGCCGGTGGTCAATAAATCCACCCAGTTTTTGTTTTTTATCACGCGCGCTCGACGGACTTTGAAGTGAAAATAGAGGTCTGTGAACATCATAATATAACACGCTAATGAGTATACACTTCAAGTTATTAACATGTGGCTTAGAGATTGATTTTCAGCTGAGGTGTGACATAAACAACAGTTATGACGTGACCTCCTTTAATTATTAAACTCACATTCTCTCATGCAAACATTAACTATTCAGAAGTCGAAGACAATTTCCAGCTGGCTTCTGCTGGGATTAAATCTGCACTAGCCTGTTCCAGGCTCTCAGATAGTGGGGAAGACGCGAAAGAAAAAGGCACGCGAAAAGTTTCGTGTTTACGCTTTCTCAATTCAGCGGACCCGACTATCTCGGAGCCTGCATGGAACAGGCTAAATCTGCACGAACGAATGTGCATAAACCAAAAACGATAACACCTTTGGGCTCCTTACTGTGACGTTATGTTTTCAGAACGGTGACCCAGTCTCTGTACCTTTGTCACGTTTGTACCCTTTTGTATTTTTCATCATTTTGTCGCAAAATTCCCGATTTTTATTCTTAGGCGTTGCCTTAATATTTCTTTATTCGCGTGACCTTTTTCGAGAGTCGACTCGAGGAGAAGGCGGAAATATGGGCGATTAACGAATAGGGGATTCCCCATGTTTGTAAACACTGTCCAACTAGTTTCCAGTCTCTAGTTGGACATGCTCAAGTCGGCTGGGTAAAGCAAAATGGCGGAGGGAGGGAATGCTGTTTCCTCAGATGAAGAATATTCCTCGTCTAGTTCTTCTCCTTCTTCCATCTGGTCTTTTTCGGGAATAAACAGAGCCAAATTCAAAAGTGGATCGGAGGGTACGAGCTCTAACACAAGTTCTACTGGAACAGAAGGTGAGCTTTGAAATAATATTTGGCAACGTTTCAACATGAACGCCGCCATTTTTAAAAGGCAAATTAGGAGTCAATTAATGGTCATTAATTTCCTTTTTTCATACAATGGCCCAATAAGCTACGATCGCAGGTTGAATCGCTGTGTATACACTCTTTTACGATCAGTTTAAGCTAAATACAGTCTGGTATAAATGTAATTATAACGCCCCAAACACCGTGTGTACAATTGAAGGGTGGTGTGAACAAAAACATTGTTTTGGCCCTATTTTGTTCTTGTTGTATCGCAAAAGCAGATATGCCTTAGCCACATAAGCTTATAGGTTGATTTTATTTAAATCTTGTTATCTTTGCTATAGTAAAAATATTTATTTTGTCTTCGATACAGCAAGTTCGAGCGGTCTGCATCAGCTTCCAGATGAAGGAATTTATGGATGGATCTCATATTTGATTAACGAAGGCAAGGTCGCCCGTTTTGTCGATCGCCAGAAGGGAATTTACGAGTTAGATTGGCAGATTGTGGTCTGGAAATACTGGTTTGACTGGAGAAGATCGCGCCGTCGAGATCGAAAGTCAAAAAGTCCTAAAAACATCAAGTTTAACCATAGAACGGCGAGCAACACCCTACGAGCAGCTCTGCTAAACGCCTACAAAGATAAGGGTGCTATGGAATTTTCCGAAAAAATCGTGATGGACAGGAGTAAAAGGACCATAAAACGCCGTTTTAGACTGCCCTCA